AGGTCAGCGTACTCTGAAAGATAAAGGCAAGGGAAAGGTCTGAATGATGATATTAGTTTGTGTGCATATGTATTAAAGATACATTTTGATAGCTCATGTTTTGTAATAATACTATTWTGAGTATTATGAGTATGATGATGTGAATTATATGTAATGGGAATGTGAGGGTTGTTACAGTTGGTATCAGAGCCTTAGTTTAAAGGATCTGGGTATTTGCGAAATACTTAGACTTAAACTAGTGGTGTAGAAAGTTAAGATAATAGGTTTCACTGGGTCTATGAACATAAGAATATGTTATAGTTGAAACTATTATGAGAAAGGTAGATTATATATGATTAATATAATCTGAGTTATGAGTGGGCATGAGGATAAATGTTTTATTATGTTATGATTATGAGAATAATCATGTGTGTTGGCAGATAATCTCAATCAATCAGAAAGGACCTCAACTGATAATAGAAAAGGTCGAGGAAGAAGAAATGTTATACAAGGAGAGGATCCAGAAAATGTGATAGAGACACGAAGTCGTAGCAGAGGACGAGGAAGAGGTAGAGGTACTAGACAGGAACATGAATTRACGGCTCAWGAAAGTGCAATGTCTGGCCGTGGTCAAGGAAGAGCTAGGGGTGAACATAATGTTTCTGACCCTGAGTATCTTACTCAAGATATGTTGTCAGCAAAACTGAGAAAATTCCAGGAAAGTTTGGTAAATTTGTTGAAACATACAAACCAAACTGATCCAAATGTGGAAAGAAGTTCTGAGCAAGAGGAAGTTGAAGCTAGTACACCGATAACTGGTACATCTGTACCTATTACTGCGTCCTCGATACAAAAAGGAGGAGATATCAAGATGTTTATTGCGTGTAAACCTCCTAAATTTTCTGGTGAAYGAGATCCTGTTAAAGCTATGTGCTAGCTTAAGGAGATTGAGTTGAGTCTACAAATTAGTAAAAGTGCAGAAGAAGACAAAGTAATGTTTGCTGTATCTCGTTTGAGATCAAGTGCTTTGTATTGGTGGGAACTTCTGTCTAGTTCAGACCCGAATATTCTAAAAACTATGGTTTGGGAAGAGTTTGTGGTAAAGTTTAAGATGCAGTATTGTCTTGAAATTGCAGTTCGAAAGTTGGAAGATGATTTCCTTCGTTTTGAACAAGGAAACATGTCGGTTTGCCAGTATACTGAAGTTTTCATGGAACAATCTAGGTTTGTTGAAGCCTATATTATATCTGAAAACAGCAGGGTGAGAAAGTATATCTGGGGATTGGAATCAAATCTCCAAAAGTATGTGATATCCAGAAATCCGAYAACATTTCAAGCGGCAGTTGATGCTGCTGAAATACTAGAACAATATATTAACCGACAACCGCAAGAAAGGGTTGGAGAAAAGACAAAAGGGGAAGCTACATTAACTGATTTCCGTAGACCGAAGTTTATGGAAAATGTGAATCGACCACTCTCAAGGTTTAATGATAAAGCTTGTACCCGATGTCATAAAATACATCAGGGAAACTGTAATATAGAATCTCGAGTATGCTTTAAATGTCAGGAACCTGGACACATAGCTCGAGATTGTCGGATGATGCGAAGATGTTATATTTGTAATTCACCCCAACATATAAGTACTGATTGTCCG